TCTCTTCCCCTCCAGGCCAGGCTGACCTGACTTGGCTGTGACCGCTGCGCTGTGAGTCAGCCCCAGCCGGGCTGGAAAGCCTCCACACACAGCACTGCTGCGGAGCGAACCGGCTCGGGCTGCCCAACAGCAGTCCTTGTGGGCCCTGGGCATAAGTTTGGGTTTCAGGCAAGGGATGGGGTCTCCTTGAGCATCCCACCTTCTTCTCCTGCCTCTCATGGTTGGCAAATTGTGCTTCCTGAGCCACATCGGCAGCGCTGCCCTGCAGCAAGCTGCTCCCACCCAGAACAAAGCACTGCAAGTCTATGCCAGTCACTCACCCTTCAGCATGCACAGACACAAAGCCGGAGCCCATTCTCTGTTTCCTCTGTTTTTCCACTCCCCACATTTCTCTCCAGCCTGCGTCAGCCCTATCGCTTACCCAGCTGTATCCCATAGGTTTCGCAAAAACAGGGTGTGGACGGTGCCTCTCCTCCACTCCTCCCTGCTCTCTCCCCCGGCCGCTGCTACCTTCCCAGGCCGCCTGTGCGGTCAGGAGACGCAGTCCGGCAGGGTTCAGCCTCGGCCATAGCCACCGAAGACACCAAACTTCCCAGGTCCTTTGCAATTAGGAATAAACCACCTTTCAGCACAACCACCTACAGGCTAAGAATCTGTCTGGATCAGCAGGATCCATACGGATCTGCACTAGAAACTGTTTTCCCCAACCCAGGGAAGGGTGCAGAGCTCCTTTGGATCGGTGAAAGCAACACAACAGTTGTGCTCACAGTCTCCTCTTGGACCTCAGCATGTGGATGGACAATAAAATCATTTGAGGGCATCAGACAGTTCCTGCCCGTCTTTCTTCTGCCTTATGCACACTAATCTCTGGTCTACTGATCCTAGGAATTGGAGAAAAGAGTCCCCATCAGCTCTGAAAATCACCTTCTTGTTCCATATCCCACAACTCAAGACACCTGATGGTGAGAAAAAGGAGAGTAGGAGAAAGTAGCCCTCAGCAGCTGGAGACGGGAACACATCAACCCACCGGGGCGCAGGACAAGGACTGGAGTGTACCCTGGCCGCGTTCACCATCCAACGCTCTGGGGTGGCAAAAGCATCCAGGCAGATGCTACGAACCCTTCCCTTTTCTCTGGTGGGCTTTGGAGAACTATTAGAAGCGGTAGAGAAAGATGATCATGAGGACATCCTGTGCTCAGGACTGAGCTCAGGTTCAGCATACTGTGCTGCCCAGGTGGGCAGGGATGTCACCTCTGGGCTCTGAGAGGAGGCACCTGTGTCACCTTGGTCCCGCAGAAGGTACGGGCTGGGACACTGCTCACACGTTATACCCGCGTAAGTGCGGTGGGACAGAGGGACGGTGGGGGACATGGCATGTTCCTCCAACTCGAGGGTGGCATGCAGCTTGCCTTAGTAGGGCAGCAAACCTCAGCGAGGTCTAAGTGAAGAAGGTTTTTTCTTTCCTCATAATCATTTGTGATGGAAACAAGGATGGTTCATGAGGGGCATTCCCTGATGCCAGTCTGAATACCTCCTGCAGCTGGACAGGCAGTTTTTCCCCTTGCTCAATAAACACCGTATGTTAAGGAGGAAGAAAAACCAGAAACACAGAGGTTACAAATTCCCCTATGCAGTGGGAACAGAAACTCAGGACCTCAAGAAGCGTCCCTCCAAATGAATGACGCACGTCCCCGGCTTAAACCTCCTTCTCCCAAACCAGCACCGCATACGTACGTGTGACTGATGTTAATCAGAAGTGTGAAAATCCACCAGTAACTGGAAATGATAGCAGTTAGGCTCTGGGGAGGCCTGCAGATGCCCAGGAAGACTACGACCAAAGCATGACTGCAAAGTACCATGCCAGGGTGCAACCAGCCTGGATGCACGATAACCCAGGGGACACACGGTGCTGACGCACGCACTCAGCACCCACTTGAAGGGACGACTTGGGCTCAGAATCCTTCCTTTATCAATTCCTAACTGCTTCTCCCAGGGAAGAAGACAACAATTGTTTCTTCTCTGAGAAGCCCAGGACTGCAGAGGCAAACAGAGGATGACCTGAAGAAGATGACGTGATGCTATAGATGAATCCCAATACAGAAACTCTGGGATTCGAGCCCCATCCCTAGCTCTGTCCTGTGTGACACATGTCATCTGCAGGAAGACGAGAGGCATGACAGGGCTCCTTGCCTCCGCTCAGCCCCTTCCCCAGATCTACATTGTCCTTGCACACCTCACCACGACCCAAAGCAAACACTGACGGCGATTCAGCTGCAGCACACTCCAGCAACAGGGTGCTTCCTCAAGCAAAAGCCTTCCCCTCCTCCAGAACTTGTTTAAAACTAAATATAGACAGCGCACAGCAACCTCCGAGCCTTCACGGTTGCCAAGTGGACCTTTCCCATGTTAGCCACATGAAACCAATGCAGGACTTTCTAAGCACACAGGCAGGGAGCCCTGGCCTTTCTGCCATCGTTCATGATTTTCCACACACTGCAGCGAGGGGAACTCCGCTCCACCTTTGAGCAAACTGGTTGCGACCCACTGAGCTGCACTCCCGCAGGCTTTGCGTTTGAGCTGCTCCCTGGGAAAGCTGTGCAAACCAACCCACACCGCACACAGACGGTTGAGAGGGAGGTATCTGCACATCACAACGCAAGAAGCAAGCTCAGAGATGTTATTCCTGAACAGAAGCAGCTGCAGCTCCCCTTGCAGGATTCCTCCTCTGAACCAAGCACACAAGTAACCAGTGTTTAAGGAAGAAGTACAGCTTTATTCTGCCGGGAAGGGAAGACGCAGAGGGTACCTGGGGAAGAACTCCAGCATATTTTCCCAAAAGGAGAGAGGTGGTGCACAGGGGACAAAACTCAACAGATGGGTGTTCGGAGCCCTACCCCCGACATTTATTTGAAAGCTATTAATTACATTACATATTTAATTCATATTCACTCATGGTCTATAGCCAGCTGCTCAGATATTCTTCAGGAGTTGACTAATTCCCCAATATCGTTATGCAGATTCTCCTACAATCCCTCCTGGGTAGCTCTGATCAGGCAGTGAATTACGACTTCAGATGGGTATTAGAGAGAAAGACCACACCAGTTAACCACCACCTCAAGGTACCAGGCAGGACACAGCTGATGCTTTCAGCTGAAGGTTTGCTGTGGCAGACAGGGCAGTCTGGGTACCTCTGCCCCTGGCTGGTAAGGCCTGTCCTGGGCTAGGAGGAATCCATAAGCCTTGTGCATGTGGGTATGCTAAAACCCACTCGCTCAGAGCAGTCAGCCCATCTCTCCTCAGGGAGCCTGGCACTGCAGAGGGATGTCTACGCTGAGCCGCTCGTTAGGCTCCTAATACAGCAGCAGGGAGGACCTTCTCCCATCCTCCCAAGGACTTTAGACTAGACACCTCGCAAAAGTAACTTATGTCAGATAAAGTGATTCCAGGCCTAAAGAAATACTGAAGCTGTCAGTCCCCCTGGGAGCAGTTAAAGGGAGAAGGGCTGTGCCAGAAGCAAGACCTACCAGGAGAGGTACGTGCTGGGCTCCAGCGTGGAAGGACGAGAGGCACAGACTCCTGCCACCGCTGCAGGCTGCTCGCCCTGAGCCAAGATGCTGCTCACCGTGAGAGCAGCCCTCCCCAACAGAGCA